CAAAAAAAAAAAGAAACAGAAAAAAATTTTGCTTGCATGATTATTTCATTACACATTAACAATATTCAATAACCTTCGGTAAAAGAGGTACAGTTTGCATGAAATCAATTGTATGTATTGTTGGATCAAAATCACCGTATTCTACTAAAATAAGCAATTTTAAAATGCGAGTACAAATGAATAGAAATAAGTATTCCATAACTAAAAATGACAATAATTATTCGACAAATAAAGAAAATTTTAAAAAAATTAAAATTTCAAACATGACTTCAAAAAAGAACAGAACAATCGTTTTTAATTAAGTGATGTTAAACATGGAACGGAAATTTATTTGATAAAATTATTATTTATATAATAGCATTAAATTAAATAGAATTCGATAAATTTTTGAAGTCTTCAACTATTAGCTAGTGTAAAATGACAAGTCAAAGATAAAATTGAAAGTTTAAGTTTAAAATTATTCATTATATCGAAAAAATAGTGTAAAAGAGCAGCGAATTTAAAATTTTCCAAAATAAAATAGGTGAAAATTTAAAAAAAAAGAGAAACTGGCACAAAAAAAGAACAGAAATTAATCAAAATTTGATTTATCGTTTTTACTATCATGTTATTCATTATTACAAATATAATTTAATAAACTTTTTTATTTCCTATTTTATCTTTTTTTCTTCAATCAATACAAATAATTGAACTAACCTTGAAGACTGTATGCTGCAAGATTGATATATTTTTCGAGAGCAACCGTCAATTTACCTTCAACAACATCCAATTTCATTAAGAAAAAGTAATATGATCTGAAAAAATTTTTTTTAAATAGGACAAAATTTTTTTCCTCTCTTTTTAGCATAATTGAAAACAGTAAGCTTATTTGTTCATCTTGATTTAGGAAGCAATTACCAAAACAATTTGTAAACATTATTCTATTAATATTTTCAAGGATATTTAATGCACTTCAACCCAGGAAGAAAAAGAAAAAAGAAAAAATAAACAAAAAAACCCTCTCTATTTATTTATGCTATAAAATTAAAAAGTCTTGCTTCTAGAATTGCATTCATTCATTTTTATTTCCTATTACATGAATAAATATGCAAATCAATTGTTGTATGCAAAGAATTATTTAAATCATACTATACCACTTTTCATTTTTTTTCTTTCCCTCAATCATCTTTTCTCATTCAATGAATTTTAAGCTTTCCGTCGTTTTGTTTGTTTATTTGTTTGTTTTTCCTATTCTTTTACCTCAATCATCCCTTCTAGTTCAATAAATTTTAGGCTTTTTCTGTCAAGTTTGATTGTTTTTTTTTTCGAAAATCAAAAATTATCATATTTGATTTTTGTTAACCTAGCCATTTGATCAGTTAATGTAAATGCATTTGGTGTATGATAGAGAACAGCCAATTGTACTTGTCGTGGTTTACATGCCCATTTCTCAAGTTGACGCCTTAATGGCTTGTCAAGTTCCACCCAACGCATCATACGATTATCCGGATCATTTGTTTTCATTTGATATCGTAAACCAAACATTTCTACCTGTAGTAAATTAAATTATTCTAATTTGAAAAAAATAAACAATGACAAAAATTAAAAGTTAGCAATAGTAATCAAATAAAAAATGTAGATAAAATGATCAAAGAAAAAAAAATGAATGATTTTATTATTGTTTCATACGTAAGCCACGTATAGCACATGTCTTACCTATTTTTATATTTAATAGATCCAATCACTTCATTTATTGCTATTCATCCATATCCTATAATATGAGACTATCCAAGCAAAAAAAAAAAGATTAATAAACATTAGAACTAATGCTAGCCTTTTTTAAGCTATATTCATTAAGTTTTGTGTATGTGTTTTTTTAATTAAATTTTTATTTACTAACCTGATTAAGATCTACTTTTTGGCTAAGATATTCCATACATTGGCTTGCGGTACTTTCTGTTGTTAGGGTACATTGTAAAATAGCATAATCACCAAGGTAGACAGTTAATACATAAATATCTTGGCTAAGATCATACCGGCCACTTTTTTTACCCCATTTTAATTTCAATGGCATATGTAACATTTTGGATATGATTGTCATTGCATTTTTCCTCCTGCAATCGAAACAATTTTTAATTCAATT